CAAGTCTGGTGCTCTGCCACTTGAGCCACACCTCCACTTCCAGCTGTTTGCTGACTTACATCGCTCAGACCTCTGAGGCTCAGAGAAGGAAAGGGTCCAGGGTCACCACCAGCGAGAAGGACACAGGGCAGGAGTGTGCCCAGCTCCTGTCCTGTCTGTCTGTCAGGCCATCTGTCTCATGAGTGTCCCACAGGGGTCTCAAACGAGCGGAGGGTGGGCGTGGCTCTGAGCCGCACCTCTCACCTGCCAGGACTCTCGCTGGGCGAGTCTCACCCCGTGAGCATGTTGAGCACAGATTGCTCAGCGCTGCTGTTTTTCACCAGGTGCACAGGAAGCAAAGGCCAGAGAAGGCTCTGGGCCCGCTCCGCTCCGTGGGCATTCCATGCTGACGGCTCCCCAGGGGCCCTGCTGGAGCGTGGCCTGGAGCTTTCTAGGTTAGAAGGGACCACACAAGGAGGAGAGGGAAGAGGAGGAGTGAGGAGGGGAGGGGAGGGGGACACAGCATCCCTCCATCTGTTCCCAAGGGCAACGGGCTCCTGGCAGATCTCGGTGTTCCCTTCTGCCTTCAAGCTGCACTGGGTCAAGGAGACCTGGAGGAGCAGGCGGGCGGCGTGCTGTGGAGCCCGGAACTGTGCCAGGAGGCGCAGCGTGGCACACACCGCCCAGCTGATGCCGAGGGGTTGGTTGTGGGAGGCCCTGGCCCCCAGCTGGCCGCTGCTGTGGGCTGACAAGGCAGGCCTGCCCTAAGCCTTCCGATCTCCATCTGGGAGATGCACCAGTGCAGACAGGAGAACTGACTTTCCAGAACTTTCTTCCCTTCTATGGGCCAGGCAGGAAGAGCAGTGGAGCTGGCGAAGGGCTCCTCTCCCAGGTGCGCCCTCCCCATGGGAGGTGAGGCGTCGGTGTCCCCTGGCAGCCAGGGGCTGCGGGTCTCGCCCAGGGGGGCGCCCAGGCTCCATTCCCTCCCCGTGCACTCCAGGAAGCCTGTGCACCTCAGCGGGCTTTCCCTGTAACATGGCCTCCGTAGCATTTCTCCTCTCTTCACAGGACTTCACTCGGTGTGTGTGTACATGTATGTACACACATGCATGCATGTTGGTCCTGGGACTTGAAATCAGGACCTTGTATTCTCACTTGGCTTTTTGGCTCAAGACTGGTCTTCTACCACTTGAGCCACACTCCTACTTCTGGTTTAATTGGAATAAAGAGTCTTAGAGACCTTTCTGGCCAGGCTGGCTTCAAACTGTGATCTACACATCTCAGCCGCCTGAGTAGCTAGAAGACCAGCGGATATTGACTGATGCAATTATTGCCTGTACTGCCCCTGCCTTGCCTCTGGAGGTGCTGGAGCTTTGAGAAGATGCAGGAGTTGGGTGAAAAGAGAGGTCCGGGGACACAGAGACAGGGATGAAAGAACCATGCCATGAGAGGTTTCCACGCCGCGGGATTCACGTGCAGTGAAAACATTGATTTTCTGGTCAGGGCATGAAGTCAATGCAGTGGTTGAGACTGAAATTAAAAAGCAGACTAGAAACTGCTAAAATGCCTAGCCTTGCCCATGAGTGTGGCCACATTCGTGTGGCTCCTGGTCTCTGCATAGTGTGCTTCTTTGTGTGGGTCAGAAAAGGCCCGTTTTGCAGGGAGCCTCTGATATGCCAGGTCTTGCAGCCCCCCTGGCTGTGGTAGGCTCCCAAGGGGCATCATACGCTCCTGGGGAGAACTGGGAAGGAAAGTGAGACCAGCCCAAGGTGACCACTGGTTGACAGGAAAGCTGTGTGGAGAGGAATGTGGCCGAGTGCAGGCTCAGCCAGGAAGAGATCTATGATTGATTGCTTATGTCTGCCTTGGGCAGGAGGTCGTGGTGGTTTGTGTGCCTGCTTGTTGCCCTCCCTGTCTGAGGAAATAAGAGTAGGGTTGATGCCGGGTGCCAGTGGCTCACGCCTGTCATCCCAGCTACTCAGGAGGCTGAGATCCAAGGATCACAGTTCAAAGCCAGCTAGGGCAGGAAAGTCCGTGAGACTGTTATCTCCAATAAACCAGAACACTGGAAGTGGTGCTGTGACTCAAGTGGTAGAGCGCTCGCCTTGAGCTGAAGAGCGAGGGACAGCGCCCAGGCCTGGAGTTCAAGCCCCAGAGTAGGGTTGAAATAAAAACCCTTCTGTAACCTCAGTTCTTGGAATCAGCCTTTTTTTCATCTATGAGATAAGAAGAATGAGGAAAAGGGACGCTGGCATTCTCTTCTGTCTTGGGGAAAGTCTTTCTTTGATATGAATAGTGTGTGTGTATGTGCATGTGTGCGCATGCAGGGAACAAAATAAAAGATCCCCTGCTGCTCTGGAACTATTAAGTGGTTTTCTTTGGGTTAAAGTAGAAGCGTTCCTTGCACACACATGTGCAAAAGCACACAGAAGCCTGCAGGCATCCACGTGGGGTGCTGTGCCAGGTGCTGGGCTCAGGCAGCAAAGGGAGGTTGCTACAGTCCCCTCCTGGTCCTGGGTTTAGCAGTCCTGCAGGTGTGTGTTCCCGATTGCTGCCACCTTAGTTTTGGGCTTCGGGTGGGAATGCTATTCTTTTGGTAGCATTGTTGGGGAAGAAGTTGCTTAGAAATCTTTCTCTGACCTGGCCTGGGGCTGACATTTGGGACCCTGGATGCTCACATTTTCTCACACATTATAAATGTTACTAACAACTTGTAACTCCTGAACTACGATTCTTGCTGGCGACTGCGTGTGCAGTGACAGGTCTTTACCTGTGTCCTCCCTGGGGAGTGGAAAAGCTGCAGCTGCAAGCCCAGCTCCCCTTCCCGGCCGGCCACCCCACCCCAGCGCAGCCCACGGCCCTGGGGCCAGTGTGCACACCCCGCTGGGCCTGGACACCATGGTGGAGGCCGGGCTTGCGTCTGGCTTAGATTCACAGAGGAGAAACACCCGCTTCCAGCCCAGGTTGGCCTCAGCGTCCTCATCTGTAAGAGGGCTAACAGTACTGACTCTCGAGGGGTTTTGCAAGGGATTAAAATGAAGCAATGTGGTGAGCCCTGTGTGCAAGTCCTGGCCTTTAATACATCTCATCTGTCAGCAGGATCTAGGAGGTGACAGTGGTGGTGACGATGGCCGAGGGGGCTGGGACACGGGTGGGCGCGCGCAACGCCCGGAGTGCTTTCATTTGGAATTTACAGGCGCCTGGAAGCGCGATGCTGTCCCGATCGCTGTTCCCACACTGGCTAACAAGAGAACTGGTGGGGTCAGGGCTGGGGTTCACACCTGTAACCCTAGCTGCTCGCGGGACAGGCAAGGCCGGGCAGGAAACCTCTGTGACACGCCTATCTTCAGGTGGAAGTGCGGGTGAGCCTCGAGTAGACGAGCACCATCCTGGAGCCGAAGGGAGTTCAAATCCTAGTGCGGGCAAGGACGGGGCTGGGGGGCCTGCCTGCTCTAAGCCTCTCCGTGGGCGGGGCGGGGCCTGGGGGCGGGGCCTGGGCGGGGGGACCGGGCCAGGGCGGCGGGGGCGGGGCTGAGCCGGGGGCGGGGCCGAACCTGAGGTCGGGCCAGGCGGCGAGGGCGGGGCCGAGGTGAGGGCGGGGCTAGGGCGGCGGGGGCGGGGCTGAGCCGGGGGCGGGGCCGAACCGGGGGTCGGGCCAGGCGGCGAGGGCGGGGCTGAGCCGGGGGCGGGGCCGAGCCGGGGGTCGGGCCAGGCAGCGAGGGCGGGGCCAGGGCGGCGGGGGCGGGGCTGAGCCGGGGGCGGGGCCGAACCGGGGGTCGGGCCAGGCGGCGAGGGCGGGGCTGAGCCGGGGGCGGGGCCGAACCGGGGGTCGGGCCAGGCAGCGAGGGCGGGGCCAGGGCGGCGGGGGCGGGGCTGAGCCAGGGGCGTGGCCGAACCGGGGGTCGGGCCAGGCAGCGAGGGCGGGGCCAGGGCAGCGGGGGCGGGGCTGAGCCGGGGGCGGGGCCGAACCGGGGGCCGGGCCACGGCGGCGGGGCCGAGGTGAGGGAGGGACGGGACCGGCGGGGCGGGACCGGCGCGGGGTCGGGACCGGCGGGGCGGGGCCAGGGCGGCGGGGCGGGGCCAGGGCGGCGGGGCGGGGCCGCGGGGGCGGGGCCGGGACCGGCGGGGCCGGGCCGGGGCGGGGCCCCGCAGCGGGGCGCCCGGCGGGCGCCGCCGCTCCCCTTGGCAGCCTGGTCCTAGAAAACAGCCCCCAAAACAACCCAGGAAACTCATTTTTCGTGCCCGGAGGTGAAGCCAGGAGCGGCCAGGAGGCTGCCCGGCCTCGACGCCGCAGCCTCCGTGGGGGCCGACAGCCCGCGCCGGGCCCGGCCCTCGGCGACGGTGCCAGGGCGGGCGGCACCCGCCGCGACCGCACTTGTGAGCGTGAGGAGAGCCGCGCCGGGAGGGCCCGGCGGCACGGCCGGCGGGGGGGGGGGGCCAGCGGCGGCCCCGCCTCGCCCCGCGGGGGCAGGGTCGGAGCTGGGCCGAGACGGGTGCGGGCCCCGTGCTCCTCGAGCTGGGCCGGGGCCGCGGGGCCGCCGGACTCCCCGCACTCCGCTTCGCGGGCACTTTTGTTCTCGGCCGGCGGGCGCCCGGCCGCGGCGGGGCGACAGTGCGCAGGCGCGCGAGGGGCGGGGCAGGGCGGGGGCGGGGCTGGCGGAGGGCTCCGGCCCGCCCCCTGCCGCCTCGGCGCGCTCCATCCGGGCACTGCCGAATTAGCATCGGGCCGCATCACAACTTTGCCGAGGCCCAGCGAGATCCCGGCGCGCGCGCCGGAGGAACTATAGTCCCTGCCGGCGGACGGCGGGGGCCGCGGCGGCGGGGCGCGCGCGGCGGCGCGGGGCTCCCAGCGCTGGGTGGGGGGAGCCATGAGCCGAGCCGCGGAGGCCGCCCGGGGGCCCGGCGCCGCTCGCCCGGAAGCCTGAGGAGTTGGGGCGGCCGCGGGCGCGCGCCGGGGCGCTCCCCCGCCCTGTGGCCGGCCCCCGGCCTGCGGGGTGTGGAGGAGGCCGGCGCCCCCCGCCCGGCCGGCACCTCCGAGCCGCGCAACTTGCCCGCGGCCCGGGCCAAAGTGAACGCAAAGTGCCGCCCAAGTTGCCGGGATGGAGCTGCAGAGCCGGCCCGAGGCGCTCGCCGCGGAACTCGCGCGCCGCCAGGTAGGCGGGGAGGGCCCGGGCCGACCCCGCGTCCTCGGGCGGTCCCTCCCGCCGTGCGGCCCCGGAGCGGGGACGGCGGGACCCGACCCGCTCCGCTCGCCTCGGGGCTGCGGGGGGCGGCCCGGCCCAGCCCCGCGCCTCCCGCCCCGCGCCGCCAAAGTAGTTTTGGCGACCGTTGTGGGGAGCGCGGCGGCGTGGCGGCCGGCCCCGCGGCGTGCGCGCGTGTGAGCGCGTGTGAGCGCGCGTGAGTGCGTGTGTGTCGGGGAGATTAGGACGCGACTTGCATATTTATGAGCCTTGCTCGACACGGGCTCGCCGTGTTTACTTGGCTCTTTGTTCCTCCCCCCGCCCCGGCCCGCACTCGCACGCACTCGCACCCGCACCCCGGGCCTGCAAACTTGCACGGCTCGGGGCGCGCCGCCGGGTGCCCGGGCCCCCGCCCCGCCGCGAGCTGCCCCGATGCGGCGGCAGCCACAGGTAAGCGGCCCGGCGCGGCGCTGCCCCGCCGCCGCGGCGGGACGCGGCCCGGGAAACTTGGAGGCGCGCGGCGGCCGGCCCGGCCCGCGGGGTCCCCGGGGGCGGCGCGGGGCCCCGGGCGCCCCGCCGGGCCTGAGCCCACCCCCGTCCGTGTCTCCGCAGAACGGCGACCTCAAGAAGCAGCTCCACGAGAGGCAGCCGCGGATCGCAGCGCCCGGCGACAAGCAAGTAAGCGGGGCCGTCCGCGCGGGGAGCCGGGCCGCCGGGGCCGGCCGGGCGCGCACGCCGCTCCCACGGGGCCGCCCCCGGAGAGACCGAGCCGGGCGGGAGGCCGGGGCGGCCCGAGCCCGGCCGCCCCTCCGCGCCGCCGGCGTCCATTTTGAGCGGGTGGACGTGTTTTTGGGAGGAGGAGATTCCCTCGGCGTGGCGGCCCCCGCCCCTGGCCCCGGGGTGGGGGTGCGGGCGCGGGCGCGCCCCCAACTACTCGAGAGCGGTTCCGGGCTCCGGCCGCCCCCCCTCCCCTCGCCGGCTTCACTTTTTCTTGCTTGGAACCGGACGCCAGCTCTCGGGGAACAAAAGAAAGGCGCCCCGGGGTCCCCCAGTTCTGCCCAACTTTGCTCTCGGGGCCCCCGGGGAGGCGGGGCCGGGCGCAGCTCCCGCGCGGGGGGCGCGGCGCGGGGGAGGCAAAGTTGTCCATTGTGACTGGAGTTGCGCCGGGCCGGCCGGCGCGCCGGGCCGCGGCCCGTGAGCAGATGCCGCCGCCGCCGGGGCTCCGCGCGCCCGCGCCGCCGCCTCCCCCCTGGCCCGGCCCCGCCCCCGGCCCGCGCCGCCCCGCGCCGTCCTCCAGCCCGCGGCCAATGGCGCGTCCGGATCGCCGAGGCGGCGGCGGGCCCCGCCCCGCCCCTGCTCCCCGCCTGTCCCCCTCCCGGCTCTGCCCCCGCCCCCTCCGCTGGCCCCTCCCCTCCCGGCTCTGCCCCGCCCCTGCTCCCCGCCTGTCCCCCTACGGGCTCTGCCCCGTCCCCTCCGCTCGCCCCGCCCCCTCCACTCGCCCCTCCCCTCCCGGCTCTGCCCCGCCCCTGCTCCCCGCCTGTCCCCCTCCCGGCTCTGCCCCGCCCCTGCTCCCCGCCTGTCCCCCTCCCGGCTCTGCCCCGCCCCCTCCGCTGGCCCCTCCCCTCCCGGCTCTGCCCCGCCCCTGCTCCCCGCCTGTCCCCCTACGGGCTCTGCCCCGTCCCCTCCGCTCGCCCCGCCCCCTCCGCTCGCCCCTCCCCCTCCGCTCGCCCCTCCCCTCCCGGCTCTGCCCCGCCCCTGCTCCCCGCCTGTCCCCCTCCCGGCTCTGCCCCGCCCCCTCCGCTGGCCCCTCCCCTCCCGGCTCTGCCCCGCCCCTGCTCCCCGCCTGTCCCCCTACGGGCTCTGCCCCGTCCCCTCCGCTCGCCCCGCCCCCTCCGCTCGCCCCTCCCCTCCCGGCTCTGCCCCGCCCCTGCTCCCCGCCTGTCCCCCTCCCGGCTCTGCCCCGCCCCCTCCGCTCGCCCCGCCCCCTCCGTCGCGGGGGGGGGGGTCCCCCCCTCCTCCCCTCCCCCCATCCATCGCTTTCCGCACGGGATGCCGGCACCCGCGCCCCCGCCTGCGCCGAACTTGGACGGCCCGGTCCCCCTCTCCCCGGTCCCCCCTCCCCCCCTCCGCTGGGATTCCGGGCCCGGGGAGGCCGGGGGAGGCCGGGACTCGGGGTCGAGTCTTTAAGGTTGGAGAGTGGCGGGAGCCGGCTGCGAGCGGGAGCCCTGCGGCCGGCGGGACGGTGCGCTTCCCCGCCCGGCCATTCTGATCCGCCCCGGGGCCCCCGCCATTCTGATCCGCCCCGGGGCCCCCGCCATTCTGATCCGCCCCGGGGCCCCTTTTGGAGGGACCGGAGGCCTTCACTGAGCGCGGAGAAGGGGAGCGGAGTCCCGGGACGGGGACGGGGAGCGGAGTCCCGGGACGGGGAGCCCGGGGACGGGGAGCCCGGGGACGGGGAGCCCGGGGACGGGGAGCCCGGGGACGGGGAGCCCGGGGACGGGGAGCCCGGGGACGGGGAGTCCGGGGACGGGGAGTCCGGGGGCCGCCGGCACCTTCCGTAAAAAGCAGCGCTCCCGCACATCGGGCCGGGTCCCGGGGAGCGGCTGGCGCCCGGGCTTGGAGCAGAGCGGAGAAGAAGCGGGTCCCGCCGCCCCTGCCCGGTGGCGGTGCGCGGCGGGCGGCGCGGGGGTCCAGGCTGCCGGACCCTCCGGGGGCGGCGGGGGCGGCGGGGGTCCGGCGGCGGGGGTCCGGCGGCGGGGGCGGCGGGGGTCCGGCGGCGGGGGCGGCGGGGGTCCGGCGGCGGGGGCGGCGGGGGGGCGGCGGGGGTCCGGCGGCGGGGGCGGCGGGGGTCCGGCGGCGGGGGCGGCGGGGGTCCAGCGGCGGGGGGGCGGCGGGGGGGCGGCGGGGGTCCGGCGGCGGGGGTCCGGCGGCGGGGGTCCGGCGGCGGGGGCGGCGGGGGTCCGGCGGCGGGGGTCCGGCGGCGGGGGTCCGGCGGCGGGGGCGGCGGGGGTCCGGCGGCGGGGGCGGCGGGGGTCCAGCGGCGGGGGGGCGGCGGGGGGCGGCGGGGGTCCGGCGGGGGTCCGGCGGGGGTCCGGCGGGGGTCCGGCGGGGGCGGCGGGGGTCCGGCGGTGGTCCGGCGGGGGCGGCGGGGGTCCGGCGGGGACGGCGGGGGTCCGGCGGGGACGGCGGGGGTCCGGCGGGGGTCCGGCGGGGGCGGCGGGGGGGCGGCGGGGGGACGGCGGGGACGGCGGGGGTCCGGCGGGGGTCCGGCGGGGACGGCGGGGGTCCGGCGGGGGCGGCGGGGGTCCGGCGGGGACGGCGGGGGTCCGGCGGGGGCGGCGGGGGCGGCGGGGGGACGGCGGGGGGGCGGCGGGGGTCCGGCGGGGACGGCGGGGGTGCGGCGGGGGCGGCGGGGGTCCGGCGGGGGTCCGGCGGGGGTGCGGCGGGGACGGCGGGGGTGCGGCGGGGGCGGCGGGGGTCCGGCGGGGGCGGCGGGGGGACGGCGGGGGTCCGGCGGGGGCGGCGGGGGGACGGCGGGGGTCCGGCGGGGGCGGCGGGGGGTCCGGCGGGGACGGCGGGGGGCGGCGGGGGTCCGGCGGGGGTCCGGCGGGGGTGCGGCGGGGACGGCGGGGGTGCGGCGGGGGCGGCGGGGGTCCGGCGGGGGACGGCGGGGGTGCGGCGGGGGCGGCGGGGGTCCGGCGGGGGTGCGGCGGGGACGGCGGGGGGTGCGGCGGGGGCGGCGGGGGTCCGGCGGGGGGACGGCGGGGGTCCGGCGGGGGACGGCGGGGGTGCGGCGGGGGCGGCGGGGGGACGGCGGGGGCGGCGGGGGGACGGCGGGGGGTGCGGCGGGGGCGGCGGGGGGGACGGCGGGGGTCCGGCGGGGGACGGCGGGGGTGCGGCGGGGGCGGCGGGGGTCCGGCGGGGGACGGCGGGGGTGCGGCGGGGGACGGCGGGGGTGCGGCGGGGGCGGCGGGGGTCCGGCGGGGACGGCGGGGGGGACGGCGGGGGTCCGGCGGGGGCGGCGGGGGTCCGGCGCGCCGCGGTTGGGAAATGCCGCGGGCTGGGAAATGCCGCGGGCGGAGCGCTCTCCTCAGGGCCGCCCCTGCCGTGCACCTCCGGACGGAGGGACGGACGCCCGCCCGCGGGAAAGGACGGACGGCACGGGAGGAAGGGCCGCGCAGACCCTTCCCCTCCGAGAAGCGTCTCCCGCCCTGGCCGCCCGCCGCCGGGGTTTGTCTGTTTCTGCGCCTCCCGGTGCGGCTCTCCAGGCCCTGCGGCGTTTTGTAAACGAGGACCCGGCGCCCACCCCGCGGAGCCCACCTCCGACCCCCCCCTCCCCGCGGAGCCCACCTCCGACCCCCCCCACCCCCGCGGAGCCCACCTCCGACCCCCCCCACCCCGCGGAGCCCACCTCCGACCCCCCCACCCCGCGGAGCCCACCTCCCACCCCCCCACCCCGCGGAGCCCACCTCCGACCCCCCCCACCCCGCGGAGCCCACCTCCCACCCCCCCCACCCCGCGGAGCCCACCTCCGACCCCCCCCACCCCGCGGAGCCCACCTCCGACCCCCCCCACCCCGCGGAGCCCACCTCCGACCCCCCCACCCCCGCGGAGCCCACCTCCGACCCCCCCCACCCCGCGGAGCCCACCTCCGACCCCCCCACCCCGCGGAGCCCACCTCCCACCCCCCCCACCCCGCGGAGCCCACCTCCGACCCCCCCCACCCCGCGGAGCCCACCTCCGACCCCCCCCACCCCGCGGAGCCCACCTCCGACCCCCCCACCTCCGACCCCCCCACCCCGCGGAGCCCACCTCCGACCCCCCCACCCCGCGGAGCTCACCTCCGACCCCCCCCTCTCGCCAGCCGCGTGGACTTAGATTGCCCCCCCTCCGTCCTGCTCCTTGGCAGACTTGGATGGTGATTGGCAGGTTGGCAGGAAAGGTCATGAAACACGCTTGAAGGTGACTGGGCTGAGCCTGGGCACCCCAAAGCTGGAGCCGTGGAAAAGCTTGTGGATCAGTTATCTCCCCCCCCCCCCCCCCACACACACACACTGGGAAGTAGAATTCCTTTCTAGAGTTGGTAGAGAACAGTCTTAACCATCTCCATCCACCTGCAGAAGTGCTTTTCTGCACTTGCCCTGCCTAGTATCAGATATGAAGGCTAAGTTTCAATTAAAAGTGCATGCACAGGTGATGAACGAGATAGTAAAATGAACAGATGACCCCATTATCGGCCTCGGTTAGATTGATAATAGCAGGTGCAGAATGCCTTTTAGCTCCCAGCCATCAATTTCCCATTCATGCCCTTGATACTGGGATTTTTCTTTTTAACTTTCAGGAATAGTGACAAGTGTTTAAAGCACTCCTAGAAGTACATAGCTTGTTGGCCAGATGGAGATAAATTCCCTGTCTGTGGGCTAGAAATGTGGCTCAGTGGTAGAGTGCTCACTTAGCATACATAATGCCTGGGTTCTATTCCTCAGTAGCACATAAACAAAAAGCTGGAAGTGGCTCTGTGGCTCAAGTGGTAGAGCGCCAACCTTGAGCAATAGCAGCTCAGGTATAATGCCCAGGCCCTGAATTCAAGCCTTGGGACTGGCAAAAAAAAAAAAAAATCCCTATCTAGCCTTAACCCCATTGAGGGCCTTAGGTTAGCAGAAAACCGCCTGCCTTAG